GCGGCATCCGGCGAGTTGGCCTTGCCGGGGACGATGCAGTTATTAGGGGTGCATCGTTACAAAATGCTCTATCGCACTGAACATAAATCAGGATCCCCCCTTAAATTATATAAAACCGAAATGACATTATCGCATATCTAGACGAAGAGAGACCGATATCATGTAAATCTGCCGTAAGTTTACTTTGCTCTTTAACAGGACATTTAATATATTTGATGACATACAAGACAAACGCTCTGCATTAATTTCCATATTTGTAACACTTTCCTGTCTTGCCTTTAAGGCAGACTTAACAACGCAAATAGCATTTGTAGGGGTCGAAGAAAGTTTATTTGGTTTTTTGTTTTTACGTCTAGTAAAAATGAAGAAATTTTTTCTGAATCAGCATTCAAATTTGGAAGCGATCTAATTACATTTAAAAGTAATATTAAATTAGGATATTTTATGTTAGTTTGACATTGTAAAATCTGCTTCCACATTTCATCAAAATTTAATTTCGACAAATTCTGTTTTTCTATTACAGTAAAATGTAAATACAACGCAGACCATTCTTTTTCTAAATTGTCTTTGTCGAAATCTAAACCGCCAATGGTTTTGATGATAAAAGAAATATCATTAAATGATGCTTCTCTGTTGGCATCGAGCAAAGCTGTATTTGGTAGGAAAATTTTCAATTTAGACAAAAATAGATCTGTAATTGATAATCTTTTACCGATTTTCTCGGCAGCAATTACGTAAAATTGTAAACAATGCTTTCGAATATTTTTAATTGCATCAATATTTTCTTCAGTTACTAATTTTTTCAGATATTCCTCGCATTCTGATCCTAAATTAATGTCTTCAAGAGATTTATAATTTTCATTTTCGATAAAATTAATATTAGAAATATGTTTTAAAAGTTCTGCTTTTAAAAAATATTGAGCAATTTCGAACAGAAAATTCATTGATTTTGACTGTAATAGATGAATTCTTGTTTCCGCTTGTCCTGTTTGAAAATATGCATTAAATGTATTAAAAAAATTTAAAATGAACAAAAAACGTTTAAAATGTTAACAATCGAGCTCTCGGCATTAATAAAAAACAATGATATAATCTAAGGACAATGAGAGCTATATACAGTGTGGTAATTTTTGCGCAATTAACATACAAGTCAAATCGTGTTCACATGATATATTAAGAACAATACTAATTACTACAGACTCAAAAAATTTTGGACGTTTCGGTTTACTTCAAACCATCTTCAGCAATATTTCCTTCCACACCAATATCACATATGTGTCGCTGAAATCGCACGGCAGTACTGAAACCATGATCTATGCGAGACCGAGGGTGATTGTCTCCCTACTGTCTGGTTGGAAGTTTCCCAAATTATTGTCTATTCGTTGTTGATCCAAAAGACTAACTAGAAATTCACAATAATCATAATCATTTCCATTGTATTCAAATCATTGTCTACTCTTTAAACTCACTCTCCTTCTCCATAGATCTCTCCTCAGTTACTTCACACACAAATAAAAAATTATAAAAATACGATTACAAGACGTAATTTCCAATTTTATAAAAAGAATGAAAAATGTAAAAACGTAAAATAAGCCAACTAAAGATATATACTTCAGTAAATGTCCGTATGGAAGTCAGTGCCGCAATGATCCTCAAATTACAAAAATAAGCGCCAACGTGCATCTATGTACAAACTCTAAGTCATATCATTATAATACACAGATACCTTCAAGGCATATACTAACATAACTATTTGAACCCTCTTACAATATTCACATATGAATGGTGCAAAAACTCCGTGTCCGATTGTAAATTTAATCGTTTCGTTTGTAATTGAATATTCAGCATTTCAGAAATTAATCTTCTACTCAATTGTCTCTCTTTTTCTACAATTTGTACATTCTCTCAGTCAAATTAGTGATTGTGTTCCAATCTATGTTGAGAGATCACATTCTTACTATGAGCTTTTTTGATGTCGTTTTTATGCTCTTTAACTCTCGTTTTTAACAGTCTCCCTGTTTGTCTAACATAACTTACATCACAATCTCGACATTGTATTTTATACACGATATTTTTGTTAGAACTTGGTGGGAGTCTGTTCTTATGTCCTTTTATAATTCCACCTAATTTACTGAGACTACGATAACACAGTGTTGTATTCACATCTCTCGTTATATTTTTAAACTTCTCAGAAATCCCAGATACATAAGGAACAGTAAACCAACACTTTTTATTATCATCCCCCACCTCCTCCTTATCCTATTTAGAAGTCTCTTTGTGGATAAGAAATTTTATTCTTGAATTAAGAATACTAAAAATAAAATTTAAAATGTATTTTAAAAATAATAGATATGCTTTCATGTCTATATTTTCCATTGCAGCAACAGAGGTTCTCTTGATTTTGATTTGTCGTTGATGACCATGTGCAAAAAGTATTTAATAAAATCCTAATATTTGAGAATTCTTTCAATACATGAATGGCGAGAAAGCCATTGCGTCTCGGCTATTTTTTAAATTTTATGACTTGTTTTCTGAAAACATTCCGAGAAATCGCGGAAAATAGCAGATCGCTTAGGACCGTTATTAATATAACTAGCAATTCTTTTTAGAAAATTCTTACAAAATTGAGGTATTTTTGAACACGCAGCATGCGTAGCCAATGCAGTAGAATGACATGGACACGAAAAAGTCAATAAATTTTTAAACATTTCTTGAATCTTTT